GAGATTCAGAAAAATGCGAAAAAGAAAAACAAGCAATTAGGCATCATGCCACTGCTTAGAGGTTTTTGTATTTCTTTGAAGTCTTTTTTAATAGGCTTGTCACGTGATGCATATACATAGTAAGCTCCGTGCCCCTTAACCTGTTTCAAACATTCCCATCCACACCACAGAAATTCTTTATGGACATAATTTTTAAATATTAAAAAAAAATTGTTATTGAAGTAACACATGCCCACGGTAACAAAATCAGAGAGTCTATGAGTGTATGTAAATTAAAAACTGTGGTCCCCCCTCATCCTGCACCCCTAGCTCCCCTCTCAAGCAGGGGCCAGCACTCTCGCCTGCTCCCTGTTTCCATACGGCCCTCGAGCTGCGAAAGGTCTTTATGTTTTTAAGGGGTTGGAAGAAAATCTGAAGCAAAGTAAACACTTTGTAACGTAAGATGATTGAAATATCAGTGTCCATAAGTAAAGCTTTATGGGAACTCAGCCAGCCCATCTGTGTATGCCCTATGTACGGCTGCCCTACGGCTGCCATCCTACAACCACAGAGCTGGTGGTTTCCAGTGACCCGGAGGGTCCGTAAGCTGAAGATATTGACCATCTGGCCCTTTAAGAAAAAGTTTGTCACCTCATGTAAAAATAGTCTGATGAGGTGTCTTCCCAAACTTGCAGATTGTTAGATAAAATGTATACACAAGTACAAAATTTATAGGTTTGGGGGGCGGGCCCTGGGGGTTTACTTAAAAACTTAAGCCATTTTGTGCAAATTCTTTTGCATCAGTGTCATTCTTTTATTCATCGGCACGTGCCTGGCACCCTCCCTTCCCTCCGTCTCCTTCTTCAGATCCTTGTTCAGAAATAGCTCTTCCCGGGCCGGCCGAGTGGCGTGATGGTTAAGAGCTGGCTCGGGAGGCCAGAGGGCCCCGGTTCAGATCCCACATGTGAGGGCCAGTGACACTGCCCTCCACAAAAAGAAAAAAGAAAAAGAAATAGCTCTTCCCTTCACCCTGTAGAAATGGCAAACCCCCACCCCCAGCGTCCAGCTCCCTTTTGGCCTGTGTGTCACCGTCCATTGCAGTGTTATGTTGTTCATTTCTCCCCCGGCCCTGGAATCCGGGCCAGGGATCTTTGGTTCCTCCCCTGCCCGCCGCCCCAGCTCCCGTGGGTGTTGCATGAAAGCACCCACAGATTGGGGCATTTCTGCCCGCTTTCCCCAGGCGTGCCTCTGCCTCCGGACAGAAGCTCCTCCATCAGGGCGGTGGGCGACCCTCTTGCACACATGCACTGACTCGCTGGGTCTCCGCTCTGCCCACAGACGCGGCTCCTGATCACACACGGGATCAGCTACCTGCCTCAAGTGGATGTCATCATCGTCATGAGTGGCGGCAAGATCTCAGAGATGGGCTCCTACCAGGAGCTGCTGGCCCGGGACGGGGCCTTCGCCGAGTTCCTGCGCACGTACGCCGGCACCGAGCAGGAGCAGGCGGAGCAGGATGACGGTAGGGTGGGGTCCCGCAGGGCCCCGGGTGTCCCCTGGAGGCTCCTGTCCCCTGTGGGCGGTGCATCTGGATGTCAGCCATCAGGGCAGAGGCTGGGCCAGCCTTCCTCAGGAACCATCTGGAAGGACCGTCATCACCCTTTCCAGGCTGAACTGAGATTGGGACGGGGCAGGGAGCCCCAGGGCTGTATGGACTGGTCAGCCGTCCCCAGGCTCAACTCCTGATACTGTCCTGTGATGTGGCTTTGGGTCCCCTGAGCTTCAGTGCCCTCTTGACAAAAATAGGGACAATGATAATTATAGTTCTGGCTTCCAAGAGGCTGTGGCATCATCCAGCTGTTAGGGTCGTGAGGCGAGGTGGTCGAGCGTGCAGGCCCCGAGTTGGCAGGACCTGGGTTTGAATCCCGGCTGCTGCTCCTACCAGCTGTGAGCTCAAACTGCTTCTGAGCCTCAGTTTCCTCACTGAGAAAGCAGAATAACAGCTGAACCAACCTTGTGGTGTTGGATGTAGATTTAATGCGCTCTGTTATGTGGAGCCTCTGGCATGGTGCTGGCACAAAGTGTTCCGTAAATGACAGCTGCTGTCACTGCGCCCCTGGGAAAAGTTGCCTCTCTTTTACCCCCATGCCCTTGGCACCTGGTGGACCTGCCCACTTCCCAGCCGCCGAGCCCAGCCGCCCCTCCCAGGCTAGGGCTCAAGCAGTGACAGTCTTGGAGGCGCCTTTTGAATTCTGGGCGAGGACCTCACCCTGTCTTTATTTGAAGCAGACAGGGTGAGACTTCTAAGAATCCTGTTCTCTCTTTATCAGCTGGTTTAAAATTCAGGGGATTGGTTTGCAACCTTCCCAGGCTGCCCGGTGTTTCATCTGTCAGGCTGGCAGCTCAGGCGCTCGTCTGCACACCGCCCTTCTCCCACTTTGACCTGTGTTAACACAGAGAGGTCATCTGATGTCTTTTTGGCTTTGGTTTCAGCTGTTGCTACAAAGAGTGAACTACACAAAGGTCACCTGTCTTACCCTAATCTCCGTCTTCCAGGAGCTAATTACGGACTTCTTGAGCCTCTGTGGTGTGTTTGCCACATACCTGGTCCCCACACGGGTGTCAGGGTAGGGCCACAGGGCTGCCCCGATGCACAGCTCCCCGGGCACAATTGTCACCGAAGCATCTATGATGCAGAGGCACACAGCTAAGACACAGCAAATGGTTACTGTGTGCTTACTGGATGGAACTTCTATTCTCCACAGGAGTCATCACGGCTCATGAGGGAGGTAGAATTATTATTATTCCCAGTTCCTGGTGAGAAAACTGAGGTTTACAGAAACTTGTCCCTTTTATGCCAGGGGCAGGCGGGTCCCTCTCTGTGAAAGGGGCTGATCAGTAAGAAAGCTACTTGCTAGTCATTTAGTCATTCCACAGGTACTGATGGAGCACCTACTATGTGTTAAGTACTTGTATTAGTTTCCTAGCGTGGCTGTAACAAAGTCCCACAAACCTGAGTGGCTGAAACCATGCAAATGTATTGTCTCTGAGTTTTGGGGGCTGGAAATCTGAGATCCAGGTGTCGGCAGGGCTGGTTCCTTCTGAGGGCCGTGAGGGAGTCTGTTCCAGGCCTCTCTCCCAGCTCCTGGTGGTTTGCTGGCATTCCTTGGCTTGTAGAAGCATCTCCCTGATAATCTGCTTTCATGTTCACATGGTGTTTGTCCCGTGTGCGTCCATCTCTATATGCCGTCTTTTTTATAAGGACTCCAGTTACATAGGATCAGGGCCCATCCTAATGACCTCATCTTAACTCATTCTGTCTGCAAAGACCCCCGTCTCCAAATACATTCTGAGGTCCTGGGGGTTAGGACTGCAGCATATGAATCGGGGGGCTACAATTCAGCCCATAACAGTACTGTTATGGGTTTTGGGGAGACAGAGCAACGTATGGACAAATACCTACCCTCCTGGAGCTTAGAATCTAGTCGAAGAGGAAGGCAATAAACAAATGAACAAGTATAGATGGTTTCACATAACATTAAGTGCTGTGGATAAAGCACAATGCCACAGGATGGGCTGGGGAGTGATAGGGGTGGCAGCTCAGGCAGGGTGGTCAGAGAAGCCCTCTACGGTGGTGACATTGGCATGGGAAGGGGCCAGCAAAGAGAAGGTGTGAGGAACAGTGTTCTGACACAGGGAACAGCAAGCACCAAGGCCTCAGGCATGAGCTCAGTTTGTTTAAAGAGCAGAAAGGAGGCCACTGTGGCCAGACCATGTGGGCAAGGGATGGGAGTGGGGGGTGAAGCCGGCAAGGGGGTCCCCCTCCAGAACCTTCAGCACGAGAGCTTGGGTTTTGGTCAAAATGCACTGGAAAGCCACCGGATGTCAGAGAGGGGAAGCAACTTGTTCAAGGACACACAGCAGCTGCTGGCAGGATTGGGACCTCACATCTGGTCTTGAAGTCTCCAGCCCTCTGCTCCCTCGTGGTCTCCGGGTCTGCCAGGGGTGGGGGGCTTGTTCATTCCTCTGACAGAGTTTGCTGCCGGTGTTTTTAGTAAGTGCTTTATTGAGATATAATTCACATGCCATACAATTCACCCAGTGAAATTGGACAGTCCAGTCATTTTTAGTCTCTTCAGTCGTGCAGCCGTCGCCCACCGTCAATGTAAGAACATGTTCATCACCCTCAAGAAAACCACGTCTCCATCAGCAGTCACGCCCCGTTTTCCCCCAGCTCCCCAAGTCCTAAGCAACCACTAGTCCATAGAGTTGTCTATCCTGCACATTTGCTATAAGTGGGATTCTATAACGTACGGTATTTTGTGACTGCCTTTTTTCACTTAGCGTGACATTTTCAAAGTTCATCCGTGTGGTGGCCTGTATCGGTGCTTCATTTCTTTCCCTTGCTGAGTAATAGCGCATTGTGTGGACATGCCACGTTTTATTTATTTATCAGTTGATGAACACTTTTGAGTTGCGTTCACTTTTTGGCTCTTACGAATAGTGCCGCTATGACCTTTAGCACTTTTAAAAGAAAAGTGGTTTCCTTTGGCCAGTGCGAGATAGCGGACCCTCCCTTCAGCTTTTAAGCTCACTGGTTGGAATGTGTTTCTACGCGTTCACGTTCTTGTGGTTGGAAAGTTCTGCCTTAAGTCTAGCCTGTTCCCTTCTTGCTGCAGTCTCCTTCCTCTGATTGTCTCTTAGCCCGAGTCAAACCAAGGTTACATGACGGGTGGGCTGACTTCACCATTATTGTATTTCACTGACCTGTGCTTGGTGGGCTACCTTTAAGGCCCTCTGTGCTTTCCAAATTGACACATGTGGATTTGAGTCTTTTTCCTAGAAGGCGGTATCTCTCCCCTTTCTGTCTAGGTGAGCAGGGAATGTCCTTAAACTTTGTGGTTGGTGCAGAAAGCTCTTTTTCGTTCCCCCGCTCCCAGCCCCAGGCATGTGCAAAAACAGTTTTTATGTGGAACCTGGCATGCTGCCAATTTCTTTTCTTTTCTTTTTTTTGGGGTGCATGTTGGCATTTGACTTGGTGATGAAAATACTGCCAACCACCCTAGCACACACTGTGGGGTCATTTCCCGAGTTCTGCCACCCAGCCGTCCTCAGCCTGAGGGTATGAAATGAAAGTGGGCTGCCCGGGCCCCCCTCTTTCTACCTCCCTGGAGGCCCCAGGAGATAAGGCTGAGCGTCAGGCTCTCATTTTCCTCAGCCAGCTCCAAGCGCCAGTGACCTTGGATTAGTTTTAACAACATTCTTGGCTTCTCCTAAAGGGAAACAGGTTCTTTTTCCCCCTTGTTGGCTTCATCGGGCCTTTTTTAGAACACCCAGGCTGAAGGGGGTGTGTTTGGTTTTGGGGGGATTCTTTGTCATCAGGGTTGGGGAAGGGGAGATGTAACAGGAACCAGGCTTGGGGTGGGGAGATGTTTCTCCCCCCGGACATTCATTTTACTGATATCTAGGATTTTTTTTTGTTGTTGTGGCAAAGAGATTTATAAATTGGCTCAGAACCTTCATACCTGGAAGGTGAAGAGCATTTTTATTTACTCTGGTTTCTTTATTAGGAACCTAAAACCTAGGGCAGTGATTTTTACCATGGAACGTTCGTGCCTCCCAGGGACACTTGGCAATGTCTGCAGGCGTGGTTTGGTTGTCACAGCTGAGGCCCCGGGTTACTTCTGGTAACTTGTGGGTAGAGACCAGAGAGGGTGCTGAACACCGTACAATGCACAGCATACAGTCCACCATGTGAGGTAGAGGAGAAATCCTCTCTGCCCCGAGTCAAGCTGCCCAGGTTCTTCCCTTGCCATCTTTGGGGGAAAGACCTTGATGCTAGCAATGGGTCTACTTTCAGAACCTTGTTTGAGCCACCTCTCAATCCCGCAACTAATTTTTCCCTTTTTTTAGATTTTTGCTGATTTTTTTTTCTTCTGATTTTAAAATCAATATGCATTCACTGTAGACCACTGCAAACTGCAGAAAACGCAAAGAACCAGGAAAAAGAATGTCCTTCCACTCTCCCACCACCCGGAGGGGGACTGTGTTGGCACCTGGCCTCTTTCCCACCTGTGTCTCTCTCCTAGACCTTTTTCCCTGATAAGATTAGGATCCTACTGAGCACTTTAGTCATAAGTTCTCCTGCTCTTCCTTTTATTTTTTTTTTCTTAATGTCAGGTCATAAGCGCCTCCCTGGCACGACCCCAATCCCTCGTGGTCGGTGAGCAGCTGCTGGAGAGCCCGTCGGCAGTCAGCGCATTCCTTTCGGCTCTCCGCAGTGGCCATATTTCTTCCTCTTTTGAGTATGAAGAACCCTCAGGGCCCAGGCGGGAGGGGAGGGTCAGGTGATGCAGCTGGTCACTTCCGTTTTTGGTAAAAAACGAGGCGTTGACTGTACAGCAGTGACTTGATGTTCCCCTCAAGGGAGGCTTGCCCACTGGCCCTTGCCCAAGCGGAGTTCCAGAACCTTCTTGAGTAAAGGCAGTCTGGCTGGAATAAACAGTGAGCCTCTGAGGTTCCTGCGTGGGGGGCCAGCAGCTGGCGGAGCACAAGGCCCAGGCAGCGCTTACGTGGGTCAAGGTCAAGGTCAAGGACGATGCCTGGCTTATCAGCATCACAGCCCCATACCTGGTGCTTAGAAGCACTCAAGGAACAGGCATTGAATTACAAGTTTCATGTCTTTGCTTTAACAACAACAACAAAAAAAAAGAATGATTATTTTATAGCAACAACCCCCCCCCCCCCCCCCCCCCGTTGTTGGTGTTCCTTTTACCCTGCTTTATTTTTGTTTGTAGCAGGTACCACTGCCTGACAGTAAGTTCTGGATCTACTGGTTTGTTGTTTATGGTCTCTCTCTCTCCTCCTTGACATTTACGCTCCCCGAGGGCTTTTTGGTCACCTCTGTGTCCCCAGGGCTGTGAACAGTGTCTATCACATAAACGTGTGAAGTGACTGGATGAATTCCTCCTTGCTTGTTTAAGTAGCATGATGTGTAAACTGTCTGTAGGCCTCTGGGCTTTGAACATAACACAGCGCCATAACTATCCCAGCTCAGAAGAAAACAGGAGCTGGTTTTACCCGTTTCTCTCAGGGCGGGTTTAGAAAACAGCTTTGTGGGTCCAGTCTATGAGATGGCACCACAGTGACCAATGCAGCCTCTTCTGGCATTGGGAGGTCACCTGTGCTTACATGCTTGGCACTCATCGGTTAATCTGTCCACCTGCCCATCAGATGTGCACAGAGGGCCTGTGGTTAGCCATAGGGACACCTGATGCTTGAGCCACTGTGTGGACTGGTGCCCCTTGAATTGTGCAGTGCACGTCCTGTGCAACCGCACATGGCCTCTAAGGTACCAGGTGTGGAGATAAAGTGGAGAAGACCCAGTCCAGCTCATACTTCGATGGGGGAGACAAATGCTAAACAATCAAGGACATCTTAGTGTTTGAGGCAAGCCTGGGAGGCTGGCAGAACCCCGAGAAGCAGTCCCCATCCTAGCCTGCGAGGGTCCAAGGTGACACCTGAGCCACATCACCTTCTTGTCCCCATTTCTTGGCTCCACGTACAGCTGGTTCAGAGTAAGGTTCTCATGTCCTCGAAGAGCAAAGGCCATGAGCTAGAGCTGAGGCCCGAGGCCAGTGCCGCCCCCCAGCTGCCATGCCTGCCCTGCCACGCTGTAATTCTTCCTTTCTTTCCTTCTGCTGCCGTGAAAACAGGCGTAAAGATGGAAGGTTGGTCTGCTTTGTTCTAGCTTTTTTAATGTTTGGTCGCCTATGGTTATAACTTCTTGAGAAAGGGGCTGGCCTCGTGCAGTGGGCGTATGAGGGGTCCACCCAGGAAATGTGGGGTGGAGAAACTGAGGCACAAATGCAGCCGGTCCCTCAGCCATCCTTGCCCCTCACCCTGAAGAGAAGACATCCACCCATCATCCCCTCTGGGCATTTAAGTGGGAGCTTGCGGGGGAGCTTTGCCTGGGTTCTTAACACTTTCTTGCCTCTTATAAATCCCCAGGCAGCCAAGTGGAGGGCGAGGAGGAGGCAGGTCAGTGATACCTGGCTTAGAATTGGCTGTTTGCACAAGGAGGTTGCACTCGGACTTGTCCTGTTGCTGCATGCCTGGGAGGGGCCCGGGAACATCCACACTTCCGCCCACCTCCATTGTGTACCTGGCGGACATTTATTGAGCACCTACCATGTGCCAGGCTTTGTGGTGGGTCCTTGGGGATACAGTTCAAATCTCCAGCTCGCCCGCTCATCCGTGGGGTGACCTTGGCTAAGCTTGACTGTCGTGTAGGTCAGATGACCACAACGCCTTGAAGGAGATGCGTGTGGTCAAATTCCTGGCACACGGTGGACGGACAATAAATGGCACCAGTTTGATCATGACGAGGCTGCTCCTGCATGGTCAAGCCCCAGGGTGCAGGTGGCTGTGGGCGCTCCGAGAAGGGATGTCTTCCAGCAGAACTTCAACAGGGAACGCCACCCTGTCACTCTGGTGACACATAAGGCCTGAGCTGTCCATTGGAGCACACCCATCCCTCCTGGCTTCCATAACTAGCAGTGTGTGGCTGAAGGGCCTGGCCAGGGGCCTTTATGCAAGCCACAGAAGGTGACTCCAGCCACTTAACGACAAGGGTGTTTACTAGGTCACCAGGTAGCTCAGAAACCGAGGGCAAAACTGGACACACAGGACTCGGGAAATGGGAAGTTCGGGAACGAGATTCCTTTAGGACTCAGGTGGGACTGTCTTGGTCCTTGTCGGGCCAATGACGGTTCAAAGCTCTGGGAGAGGGGTTCCGATGGGCTGACCTTCGGCAGCACCCCCGGCTTGACTGGGGGAGCCAGGCCTGCCGAGACCACAGGAAGAGGGGGAGGGCTAATCCCCTGCCAAGAAGACAGAGGAATGGTGGACGGACAGGGTCACGTTGCCCTTCCTGGACTCTGAGCCCCTCCCCCGGCAGAGGAGAATTTTCTAGCAGTGCATCGGTCTGTGGGCTGAGTGGGCTGAGAAGGGGAGGCCGCCACAGGAGGCCAGTGCACGGAATCCCGTCCAGTCCTGGTGGCTGGTACTGGCTGACGAGCAGGAAAGGGAGGGAAGGCTGAGGCTTGGAGGGCGGCCTGGGAGCCGGGGTGACAGCTGGGGCCTCTCTGAAGCACCCACCCCCAGGGCAGGCGTCTCTGGGAGCCCTTCCAGGCCTCCCCATCTCTGCACAGAGAGAGGTGGTCAGGGCCAGCCAGGCCTGGGCCCCGAGACTGGCATGGCCATGAGCACCAGTGCATGTGGCTGCGTGGGAAGTCCTGCCTGTTATCACGCTCCTTTTTTGTTCGGTTTAGTTTTTTTTGAATTCAGAAAAGATGCTGACATTAAAGGAAACGTTTACAGTGGTGGTTCTCAATCCTGGCTGTGCACCAGAGCCCACAGAACACGTTTACAGTACAGATAGCGACAGCAGCACCGTGGTGTACATCACGCTGTGCGTGACCGACACACTCATCCTTCCGCTCATGAGGGGAGGGCCTGCTTTTATTCCCATTTTCCACACGTGGACGTTCACACGTGAGGCTCAGAGTTTTATCGCTTTCCAAGTACACACAGCTAGGAAGGGGGAGAGCGACTCTAACTCAGCGTGGCAGACTCCTTGGCAGACTCACTGCTGGCACTGGACCCTGGGCATCCCTGGGGGGTTGGTTCACAGCCCAGATGGAGAATCACGACTTGGAACACTCCTCCCCCCACATCCCCGCAGTGGGCCTCAGCTGTCTGTCTGCTTTGTCTTCCCATGGCTGTCACCCCAGAGAGCCTGCCTTTTTGGGTTCTGCTCTGATGCATGTCATATCAGCATGTTCCCAGGTCACCCTGGCTGCGTGTTTATCCCCTTTTGTAATGTCTCTCCTGTTCTGGGGTCAGCCCTTTGAAGCCCTAGATTATGCTTCTATCTCATATTTTCATTCTCTCTCTCTCTCTCTCCCTCTTTACCAAATAGGAAATCAGGGCAGAGTCAGGGGTAATACATGTGTCACTGAGTAGTTGGGAAGATGAAAGGAGATAATATATTTCAGCACAGCACAGAGGCCGAAACACTCACGTGATAAACGTTAGCCATCACCGTTGAGGTTATGGTGGTTAGTGTTGATGGGTGGGCACTTCCTGGGATTGGGGCAGACAGCTGGCTGCTGTGCCCCATGGTGGCCATATCAGCTCTTAATACTTCCTTACTATTGGGGGAGCAGCCACTGCCCCAGGTACCCCCTACCCTGGACCTCCTGGACCTCTCTGATCCAGCAACCAAAGGGTTAACTCCTGGCATGGCGGGGACCCCTGGCACTCCACTGGCTGGTGCCATGTTAGCTGGTGACCCTTGGGGACCAGAGAGCTGTGTCCTTTCTCCTACATGGTTCCCTGCATCCTGGCCCCAAGCCTCATGCAGCAGAAAGACAGTCAACTGAACAGGATTGTACCTGTCACCTGTCACTGCTGACACAGGGCACGTGCCCTGGGCCACTGGGGCCCTCCAGACGATTGTAAAACCATCCCTGCCCCGAGGGAACTCGTAGTTAGCTCGCTGGTAGTTAGCTCCTGCTCCCCAGCCGAGGGCCTCAGCAAAGCAGGTCTTGCTTTCTGAGCTTCCTGGCAGCCAGATCATTGGTCACTTCCGAAGTGACACGTTTTCCTTGTCTGTGATTTTGGCATTGCCTCTTGAAACCACGATTCCCCCTGTGTCTGTCTCCTGCCAGGGTTAGCAGGCCTGAGCGGTCCCGGGAAAGAGACGAAGCAGATGGAGAACGGCATGGTGGTGACGGACGCTGTGGGGAAACAGCTGCAGAGGTGAGTGCAGGGAAGGGACGCTTGTTTCTGTGAATTTTCCAGGCGCCACGTTTCTGCCCCCACCTGTGGGGAGATGGGGGGCGGGGTGCCGGCAGTGTGGCTCTATCTACCCAAAAGGGCCTTCAGCTCTCCAGGGTTGTGGAAAGCACAGGCTTTCTGCCTCCCCAACCCCCAAGCCCCACCCCAAATCCTCTGGGGACCTCACTTTCTAGAGCACAGAGGCCCAGAGGCGGGAGGAGCCTGGCACTGTTCCCACCAGGTGGCATGACCCACGCAGGCCTCGTGATTTAACCGTCCTTCTGCACTTCTGAGAAGTGCCCTGCATGGTGTGGCCCTTTGCCACAAGTCACTCCCGAGGGGACTGGAATGTGGTGGCTTTCATTCAGAATAGTCACAGTAACAGGACAGTTGCATTTTCCACACCACTAGGATCCAGGCAGGGGGGCTGCCAAGCCCCGTAGCGTCTCTTGAACACGGAGGTGTAGTTACTGTCACCTCCCCAATTTGCAGGTGAGCAAACTGAGCGCTCCCCACAAGTTATGCAGTCGGGGAGGAGCTGAGCAGATCTGAGCCCAAGTCCGGACTCTCAGCCAGCACTCCTACATTCTGTGCTTTGCTGTTTTAAAGGCGGTGGCTTCCGGCAAAGTCACTGGGTATTTGGAGGAGCCGCGTTCCGCAGACTCTGTTGCTTAACCGCTCTGTGCCTCAGTTTCCTCATCTGTCAGACAGGGTCTGTGGTGCACCCACCGCATAGGGTCGTAGAAAGGCTTTCGTGATACGGTGCATGGGACCCACTTAGAACTGTGCCTGCCCGGTGCCACCGGCTCTCAGCAAACAGCCCTCAGCCGGGGTTGGGGGTGCTGCCTGGCCCTACTTCTCTTGGGGGATTTCACAGAAAGGGGCTGGGAGGAGACTGGCACGAGCCGCTCTGCCCCTCAGAACACTGGCCGAGGTGCCCTCCTGGACTCAGATTCTTATCATACTGGACAGGTGGAAGGTTTCCTTGTCTCTCAGCACACCTGTCGAGGTGGGGAGCTAGGCATATGCGCACAAAGCACTTACCACAGTGCTGTCTAGGAATTCTGCTGAGGCAGCTGTAATGAGGCAGTGCCCACAGGTGGTCCTAGGGCACGGGCAGGTGACAGGGGGAAGCTTGCTACAGAGAGCCCTGGGTGGACTGAGCAGAAATACACAGAATACTGGGGGAATTACTTTCCTGTTGCTACATAATAAATGGCCACAAATTAGTGGTTTGTTGCCTCACCGTTTCTGTGCCTTGAGGGGTTCGGGGCGTAGCTTAGCTGACTCCCCTGCTCAGCGTCTCTCACAGGCTGCAGCCAAGGTGTTGCCCAGGCTGGGGCCTTATCTGAAGGCTTGGCTGCAGACGGATCCACTGCCACACTCACGTTGTTGGCAGGACCCAGTTCCTCGTTGGCTGACTGGCCGCAGGCCGGAGGCCACCATCCGTTCTCAGCTCCCAGCTCCCAGGGCCTCTCCAGCCTGGACACTTGCTTCATTGACGCAGGCAAACCAAGAAGGCGGTGGGAGAGCGGGTGACCAAGACGGGTCACCCTCCATCCATCACCTTTGCTTGTGTAGGTCTGAGCCGAGGCTGAGGGAGGCAACCTGTGTGATCGCGCACGTGTACGTACACACACACACACACACACACACACACACACACACACACATCCCCCCATGTCATCCCCCAAGATTATAAGTCCCTAGGGAACAGGACTGCCTTGAGAGGAAAGAACTCTGGGCCACATGATCTCTAGTAATCTATGCCGTTATGAGCACTGCTCTCTAACCAACTGAGCTAACCGGCCGCCCCGAAAAGCGCTTTGAATAATGCCTTCCGTGGGGCCCTGGGGCACGACCCTTCCCCACTCCGGGTCACATCTGTAAAATTGGAAAGTTCGAGCTGGTTTGGTACTCGGTTGGGGCTGCCAACCCTGCCCAAGGCTTCCTTCCATTGGTTGACACCTGCGTGCCTTGCTTTTCCCAGACAGCTCAGCAGTTCCTCGTCCTATAGCGGGGACGTCAGCCGGCACCACAACAGCACGGCCGAGCTGCAGAAAGCTGGGGCCAAGAAGGAGGACACGTGGAAACTGATGGAGGCAGACAAGGCCAAGACAGGACAGGTGAGCTGACTCCCTACACGAGGACGGTGGCCAGCGTTTACAGAGCATCCCTGAGTGCTGGCGCCGTGCAGAGGGTGGTGTTTATATTAACTCGTGTCTTCCTCACAAGGAGCCTCTAACAGTGCTGTTGTAAGCGCTGGAAGCCGAGGCCTGAGAGCCTAGGTGACTCGCCCAAGGTTGCGGCCGGTGACTGGCAGAGCTAGGATTTGAACCCTGACTGTCGGACTCCAGAGCTGGCATTTGCAGTCTCTGCTGTACTGACTGCCACCTCCTTTCAGCAGCTGAGGGCCTCTAGTTAGCTGTAAATCAGAGCTTCCCACCACGCAGGGTCCAATTATTTCAGGTTGTCACCAACACAGTGCGGAAGAACATTAAGTTACATTGTTTGGAAAAATGGTGGGTTTTTTTTTTCCGTTTCTCTTTTAGCCCTGATGCTTACATCAGAAAGAATCTCAGTGGGCTGCTAGCTTGTCTTTAATCCTTAACTGTCTTAGTCCGTTTGGGCTGTTGTAACAGAATATCGTAGACTGGATGGATGGATGGCATAGAAACACATTTATTGCTTACACATCTCTAGACTGGCAAGTCCAAGAGTGAGACACCAGCAGATTCAGGTCTGGTGACCGTTAGCTTCCTAGTTCATAGACGGCTGTCTTTTTCCTGTGCCCTCACATGGCAGAGGGGCGGGAGGGTCTCTCTGGGGTCTCATTATCAGGGCACTAATCCCACTCACGAGGACTCCACCTTTGTTAATCCCCCCCACACCCTAAAGGCCCCAGCTCCTGCTACCATCACATTGGGGGTTAGGATTTCAATGTATGAATTTTGGGGAGACACACATTCAAGTCTCTAGCGCTAACTGTTGCTAACTTTTCTTTGTAACAAGCAGAGTGGGTCTCAAGCTTTCGTTTTGTTGTAGTTTTTTACAGTCATCTGTTTTAGGCAAGTGTCAGTAATTTTCTACTTGTGGCAATGATCCAAAGTTTATTTTCAAAAATAAATGTGGTGGTTTTTTTTTTTTTCTTTTTTAAGAACAAGGAAATCGAGTTTTTAAGAACAGAGAAATAGAGTTTTTTAAATAAGTGAAAAGTACACAGATAAAGAAAAACTACCAACCCAGAAAGGCAGTACGGGGTCGCATGAGGGTGTGTGTTCAGACCTCCCTGGATGCATCTAACCCAGCAGTTCTCAACCTGTGGGTCGCAACCCCTTTGGGGGTCGAACGACCCTTTCACAAGGGTCGCCGGGTACTTGTATGTGGGCGTATCTGCATGTGGGCCTGGAGACCGATAGAGGAGCGGTGTCTCGGTTCCTAAGACCATCGAAAATATGTGTTTCCCGATGGTCTTAGGTGACCCCTGTGAAAGGTTGAGAACCGCTGATCTAGACTCTCCTGGGACCCCCAGTTCCCGGCTTCTCCCCGCGTTTGGCCATCACCTCCATGGCCGGGGACAGAGGTGGCTGTAGTGTGTCCTCCCCCCTAGCTGACCCCAAGGAGCCAGAGAAATGACTCGACTTAAGAAGGAAGGGCCAGAGCTGCCAGGCCCATTTCATCCCCAGATAACCCCACACCACCCAGAGGAGATGGGCCCCAGTATTTCTTGCATTTCTATAAGGAAAACGGACATGGGGTTGGGAGGGGCTCGTAAACTTGCTGAAGTCAGATCAGGAGGGGAGCTGGTCTCAGCTGCCTGGTCACTTCTGCCTCTGACGCCATCACGTTCCACTGCCCATGAGGAAGGAATCCCCGCGCCTTGCAGAGTCATTCCAGCGACAGCGGGCAGCTCATCTGCACGAGGGACCCAGTTGTGCAATAATCGTGTTCTTTATCCCGACCCCCTCCCTACTATTTCAGCTGGAAGAGCAGAGACTAGAGAAAGAAAAACCAAAAGGAAGCACTCAGTTTTATGCCTCAGCCCTCTGATATTTCTCCTGTCCCCTTTCAACCAGACTGCAATTCTGACACGACTTTTGTGACCCCAAATGCAGTGTGAAAAGCTTGACATGACATTGCACACACACGAGGAAAGATGCCTGGAGTTGGTTGAAACCGAGCCCAGTGGGGGCAGAGACCTTGACTTTCTCTGTAGAATAACTAAGGGGGCGGGTGTCATAGGTGTGAGCACAGGGAGGGGACTGGACCGCGCAGGTGCTGACCTTGGGTGGGTGTGATGAGGGGGGTGCGTTGTGTAAAACCCCCTCTCCCGTGGCCCCCAGGTCAAGCTGTCCGTGTACTGGGAGTACATGAAGGCCATTGGACTGTTCATCTCCTTTCTGAGCATCTTCCTGTTCTTGTGTAACCACGTTGCCGCCCTGGCCTCCAACTATTGGCTGAGCCTCTGGACGGATGACCCCATCATCAACGGGACCCAGCAGCACACTAACGTCCGGCTGAGCGTCTATGGAGCCCTGGGCATCTCCCAAGGTGAGGGCCGCCCCTCTGCACCCCACCCCCACCCCACCTGATATGGGGATTTGGAACCACTTCTGTGTCTTATTAGAAAATTGGTCCCCCTACTTGTCAGGGTTTTATAGACCCCCCCCCCCCCCAGCCAAGCCAAACCCAGATGAGCAGTACCTGTCACACAGTAGACAGTCACATATTTGAGGAATGACGGGTTCTTGTGTCTTTGTTTTACGTGGCCCTAGGGGGTGGGGGGGAGGGGCGGAGCTCTAGTGTGTCCTTAAACAGGTGACCAAGCTGAGCAAGAAAGGCCACCTGGGGCTTTGGTGAGCAAGGGCCCTTGGCTCTTGGTGCTCGGTCAGGGTGAAGGGGTTTCTGCACAGTCTCATTTGTGGACTTGTACCTGCTGTCGGAGGGTGGGAATTAGTTGATACTAGTGGTTCTTAACTCAAGGGACTTTTGGCATTGTAGGGAGATTCTTTTGGTTGGCACAGCTTCAGAGTGGGGGTGGGTCTGCAGGCATCTAGGGGCCTGGGATGCTGCTATGCATTCCTGCAGCACGCATCACAGCCCCCACGATGGGGAATTGTCCAGCCCCAAATGGCAATAGTGACAGGCGAGAAGCCCCACTCTGTACCCTTCTTGTGGCCCCATGAAAGCCCCACTCTGTACCCTTCTTGTGGCCCCATGAAGGTCCCCAAACACATCACTTCCACGTGTTTTAACTTGTTTTACCCTTGCAGCAATCCCGTGAGGTAGGAGCTGGTATTTTTCCCATTTTAGAGATGGCAGACACTGAGGCCCAGAGAGGTTAAGTCAGTTGCCCAAAGTCACACAGCTAATGCTTGGCAGAGCTGGCATTGAACAGGGCAGTCTGGCTCAGAGCCCATGCTCTTAACCACTACGCTACACAGTGTGTGAGCTATGTGGTTGTGTGCCCAGAAAGACTGCGCATCTGTACACACACATGTACACACTCAAGGCCTCTGTTACTTAACGCATGTACAGCACATGTGCACACATTTGCCGTTTTTGAGCGCTTCCTGTGCGCCACGCACATTGTCAGGTGGGCCCCTCACCTTTGACAGTGCTGACAGGTAAGTACCATTGTCTCCATTTCACGGATGAGGAAACTGAGGTGTGGAGCGGTTAAGCGACTTGTGCCAGGTCCCGCAGCTGGTAGGCGACAGGCAGGATTGGGTAGTGCTGGCTCCAGGGCCCGTCATTTTAGCCCCTGCCTCTTGGGTTTCGTTCTTGATCAAGGAGGCCAAGATCAAAGCCTCACCATCCCTCTCTGCAAAGAATGGCTGCCTTCCTGTGGGTCGTTTGGAGGAGTCACACATGTCTTATGAAATGGCTTTGGAAAAAACGAGAAGACATGGATTTCTTATATTTCTCAGTCCCTAAGCCTCTCATAGAGCAAAGCACTGTGGACTCCAAAATTATAACTGAAGGGAGGTGATGCACAGAGAGGGTGTGAGGTTTACCTGGGCTCACACAGCAGCAGTGTCCGCTAACACTAGAGCTGTGCTGCCCTGTGACAACAGCCCCTGGCTACCGGTGGCTGTTTGAATTTCAGTTCATGAAAATGAAATAGAAGTAAACACTCTGTTGTCCGCCGGCACTGGCCCCATTCCAGGTGCTCAGCAGCCACACGTGGTTCGTGGCTCCTGCACTGAAGGGTGCAAACAGAACACTGCCATCCTCACAGAAAGCTCCATGGCACAGGGCTGGTCTGGGGGAGTCCCGCCTCCAGGTTAAGAGCGTGACCCTGGAGCAGGCCACCCCACTGGAACCCCAGCTCTGCTTCCGATTGGCTGAGAATATTGACAAGGGTGAGGGAATTCACCTGTGTGAGCTTCAGTTCCCTCATGTGTGAAGTGGGTAGTGACAGAATTGATACAGTCTTCATAAGGATTAGATACCCGTAAAACTGGTAGAGTGCTAGTGCATAGTAAGTGCTCAATAAATAGTAGCAATCACCGCCACCAGCAGCAGCAGCAGCAGCAGCAGCAGCAGCTGGAAATCCAGCCCTGCTGAGTTCCCATGGTCACGTGGCCTCTAGTCCCCGCCCCCAGCTTGGCCTCTCCCCCACAGCAGAGCTTAACCCTCGAGTGTTTGTAGGTATCGCCGTGTTTGGCTACTCCATGGCGCTGTCCATCGGGGGCATCTTCGCCTCCCGCCGTCTGCACCTGGACCTGCTGCATAACGTCCTGCGCTCACCCATGAGCTTCTTCGAGCGGACCCCCAGTGGGAACCTGGTGAACCGCTTCTCCAAGGAGATGGACACGGTGGACTCGATGATCCCGCAGGTCATCAAGATGTTCATGGGCTCCCTGTTCAACGTCATCGGCGCCTGCATCATCATTCTGCTGGCCACGCCCATCGCCGCGGTCATCATCCCGCCCCTGGGCCTCATCTACTTCTTTGTCCAGGTAAGAGGTGGGTTCCTCGTGGCCTGCAGGGGCCCCGCTGTGTGTCACGCCCCCAGGTGAGCAGAGGGCTCACTCCATCGTACTGTTTGCCCAGCGCAGAGCTGTTGGCGACTGCGCTGGGGGAGCCTTAGGTTTGTCGTCAGTTTTGAGTCCCTTTTGTTTTTCACATGCGATACCCAAATGGACTTTTTTTCTAAAAAGTCGTATTTTTGTAGCGGTAAGTTATAAAAGAAAAAAAAGGTACAGCTATAAAGATGCCTTTATTATTGAAATTTCTCTAAAAATCGTGTGAAATTCTCTGGTTCCCAAGTCCCCTGTAGATAATGGAGATGGAATAACAGCAGCTTCAACAAGATAGATGTTTATGTTTCTCTCTTGTAATAGAAACGTAGAGGTAGGCTACTCGGGGCTGCTGTGGCAGCTCCATGGTGTTAATAAGCCAGACTCCCATGCTGTTTCTTTGTTCTACCAGCTTTGCACGAGCTTTTCATTCTTAAGTTGGTCTCATGGTCCAGGATAGCTACTGGTGCTTCCAGCCATCACATCTGTATTTCAGAAAACAGGACCGAGGAAGGGGAACAGGCAAAGGAGCATGAGTCAGCATTGCTTGTGGTTTCCTAGGTTATTGCAGCACAGGTTGTGTTTCCAGGTGACAGATGAGTGTGTTGAGGCCCTAGCAGCAGAGCTGGGTGTGTGCACTCATCTGTGTGATCCCAAAGCTTGCGCTGGTAATCATGGTACCGCCTGCCCCTTCTTGCCCCTACAAGGTCAGCTGCAGCACAGTTGCTAGTGGGAGACGGTGGTTTAGATGGGAGCCTAACAACTGCAATCCAAAATAAGTAAGAAATTGTGAAGTGCTCCATGCCTAAAACTGCACTGGGCCCTGCTCACGTAGGGTCCAGGAGGCCTTGGTCGTCAGCTACCATGGAGCGATTCTGTGCTGGAACCTTGTGTATATCTTTAATGGGGATACTTAGCAAGGCACTGTTACAACACCACCCGTTTTATTTCTCAACAAAGGAAATGGATGTAGCAGAGGATCGGATTGTGTACACAGTGTCATTGTAACCAAGAGGAAATGCACGTAACAAGTGGGAAGGGCTGGAAAGGGAGGCAGAAAAACGGAAGCATTGGCTGCCCGAGGGTTGGGATTATGGGAGAGGTTTTTTGTTTTGTTTTTTGTTTGTTTGTTTTATGGCTTTTAGCTAAATATACACTCATCCCACAACCCAGCAAGTCTCACTACTCAGTAAATATGCAAAAAAAATGAGAGAATGTATCCAGCTTAAATATATATAGATATATAGATAGATAGATAGATAGATAGATAGATAGATAGATATAGATATAGATATAATGTGCGAGAATGTTCTTAGCATCTTGATTCATAATAGCCCCAAGCTAGAAACAGCTCAAACATCTATTACAGGAAAAGGGATATTGACACAATGGAAATGACTCAGCAATAAAAAGGGAGGAACTGCTGGCACACACAGCGTAGAGGAATCTCACGCGGACTGTACTGATCAAAAGAAACCAGACACAAAAGAGCATGTGCTGTGGGATTCCGTTTCTAGGAAGTTAAGAGCAGGCAACAATGATAGGGCGACAGAAGTGAGACTAGTGACCATAGGAGGCGTTGAGTTTGAGAGGCCCCAAGAGAATTTTGTGGGGTGCTGAGAATGTTCTAGATTTTCATCAGGTAGTAGGTATACCATCATAGATAAAAGTAAAAAAATCCAAGCTGTAAAGATTTAATGCACTTTCCAGCAGATATATGTTATATCTCAATTAAAAAGTGGCATTTAGGTGGGCGTATGCATGGGTATATATATACACACACACTTTTTCTGTTTGTGACAAGATTTAAAAGGCTATACACTGGAATTTGAATAGTGTTTATTTCAGGATATGGACTTCATGTAACATTTATTTAATCTATCTCTGTCACCCACCCACCCCCATATACTTTTAAGTGGATATACATTACTGATTTAATTTAAAAGTAAGTCATTTTCATTAAAAGGTCATGTGAGCGGGGTAAGGTGATGTGGGATTCGTGGGGGCTTCTCTCTTGGTGGAATAAGGCATTTCTGCTCTGTGGAATTGTTTGGCACCCACAAAAACCACTCGGATGCATGTCTCAGGATCTTAGTTCCCAGCCCGCTCGCTGCCTGGCACCTGATGGGCTTGTGGAGCGTTCATTTTTCTTCACGAGCACCAGGCACTGCCCTGGTCTCTGAAGAGTAAGGGAAGTCCGGGGGGTGCGTTACGTCTCCTGGAAAAGTTTCAAAGGGAAGCTAATATTAGTTTTTAGAACTCAGATTATTTCCTAACAAAAATTTGTCTCAGGCTAGATTTTCACAGTAAATAAAATTCTGAGGACTTGACAAGTAGAGTCCGTCGAGCAGGTAAGACAGTTTAGAACAGTTTCCATCCGGGATGTTTAGAAAGAAAGCCAGTGAGAGGAGGTGATCGTGGCCGAGGATGATGAGGGAAGATCCCCCGGGGACCTTGGTCCATGCCGTGGGGTTTGGATTTCATTCAAGGCAGTGGGCGCCACTGGAGGAGAGATGTCGTCTGGCCCACGTTCGGGGAATTGGCGGAACACCCGTTCTGGGACTGCTTTCAGAGGCTTGGGAGCCCCAGAAGGCTGCCCAGCTCTGGGCTCAGATTACTGCGTGAGCTGCCACCCAGGAGAAAGCCGCCACGTCAGGACGTCAGGCCCATGAGAGCCACCCGTTTCATTTGGTGTGCTCTGTGGAAGGTGTCTGTCGCAGGGCAGGAGGCAGGCAGCCCCGGCCCCGACCACTCTGCTCATCCCTCCGGCTCTGTCTGTAAAGCGGCTGCATGTAACTTTTATCCTTAGCGCCTCTGGAATAGGGACCCTCGGTCTCACCAGTTCCATTTGTGCAGGTGACATAACTACGGCCAAGAGCGCTCACGTGTCCTTAGGTGACCCATCCAGCGTCTGTCCACAGCTCCTGGAAGCTCCCAGTGGTGATTTGCTTTGGTTCCGTCTCCAACTAGAGCTTTTCTCTGCCCGGCCCTGGCTGAGCGCCGGGTTAGGGCAGCAGCAGAGCCGATGTGGTCTCGACTCACAGGGACGGGTGGACTGAAGGTTTGAGCTGAGGTCTGATTGTCCCCAAAACGTGTGCCTAAAGCCACACTGCTGGGTCCATAAAACCCTCCAGGTCAGTGGCTACGGAGAGGCTGTATGGTGCAGAGGTTAGCACTTTGCCAAGCTGCCTGGGTTCGAATCCCAGCTCTGCACTTCCTTGCCACGTGACCTTAGGGAAGAGGTTAGCCAACTTCTTGGTACCTTAGTTGACTGGTGGTGAGAAAGGACCGGGCACCTGAGAGGTTTTTGGTGAGTATTAAATGAGTTGATACACGAAAGTATTTAAAACAGTGCCTAGGAGGGTGGGCGCCACCTAAGTGTTAGGTGTTATTGGCGTCACGGCCGTCGTCCTTGTTGGCTCTGTGCCTGCAGCTCCCCAGTGAGCGGAGACGCCTGTTAAGAGCAGCCCAGCTCCAGTTGTTTGCCTCCTGGGGGGTCTCCTTGGGGCAGCTCCGCCACCGCTCGCTTCCCTTCTCCCTGCAGAGGTTCTACGTGGCTTCCTCCCGGCAGCTGAAGCGCCTGGAGTCTGTCAGCCGCTCCCCGGTTTACTCCCACTTCAACGAGACGTTGCTGGGGGTCAGCGTGATCCGGGCCTTTGCGGAGCAGGAGCGCTTCATCCACCAGAGCGACCGGAAGGTGGACGAGAACCAGAAGGCCTACTACCCCAGCATCGTGGCCAACCGGTGGGCGCAGCGGCCGGGCAGGGGCGCGGGAAGGCCCTTAGTTCCTGGAGGGGCGGGAAGCCCAAGTCAGGCCCTCCCGGAGAGGTTGGGTGGGCTGGGTGAGTGGCAAGGGCCGTCCGCACTGAAAGCAGATGCGAACTGTGAGCACCCAGCACTCCAGGGACAGAGCGTTCTTCTGACCAGGAAGCCCTGCAGGGACCGTCCTTCAGCTGTCATCCTGTACAAGATCACCAGGGATGAACAGCTCAGCTATTGAGTGTTTTCTACAATAGTCCCCGGCTCAGAGGTGATCACCTCTCACCCCACCTGCCCCCCCATGAGTAGGAGAAGCTGTTCCTAATATTAGGTTGAACCATGTGAAATTGCCATTTGGGGCATCAAGAATGGTTTGAATAATAATTCATCTAAAAAAGGGTCAGGAGCTTGCAAATTATTGGCTGAATTTAGAAAAGTGTCAGATTTATCCCTGAAATAGTGTCCTCCTCACGCGCCGGCATCATGATATATTTTTTGAGATGTGGGATGGAAAACCCCGGGGAGGGGGTAACGGCACCCTGAAAGTGACCCCTCAGAGCCAACCGCCAGTCCGTCGTACATAGTATAGCCCTGTAGCAGGAGACTGGGTAGGGGACCTTTCTCCCCCTTGCAGAGGTTTTAGGGAGTTTGTCAAAGTCTGGGTCTGTCTGTGTGAGAGGAGCTCACGCCCGTGAAGATCAGTCACGTGGCTCTTCAGGGCTGTCGTGGAAAAACAGGTTCACACTACCATCTCCCTAGAATGCATTACATTTTGAAACATTAATATTCCTAATGCTGTGTGGTAGCTTACCAAAGTTAGCTTTAAACCATTAAAATATCTGTTTATATTTTTTAAAGTAACATAATACATGTTAATGTTTCTGAGATGAGGACAGAGGCCGATCTGGGTCTGGGGACATTCAACAGCTGCATTGAAAACGGTTTATGTCTCAACCTCCCTCTCTCCTGCCAAGAGAAGGTTATTTTACATCAGTGGTGCCTCTTACCGTTGATGACTTCTTAGTATTTAGGAATTTTCCAGGACACCTTTTTTCAAAAATGCATACATGGGTTATATTTTAAAGGTTTCAATGAGAAAAAGTTGGTTTTTAAAAAGGCAGGCTTGGGCGGCCGGTTAACTCAGCTGGTTAGAGCACAGTGCTCCTAACACCAAGGTTGCCGGTTCGATCCCCGCATGGGCCACTGAGCTGCACCCTCCACAACTAGGTTGAAAAAACTACTTGACTTGGAGCTGATGGGTCCTGGAAAAACACACTGTTCCCCAATTTAAAAAAAAAAAAAAAGGACAGGCTTTAGTTTCCTGGGAAGATTGCTTCTGAGAACTGTTTTAATCCCTGGGGTTGCCAGGTGATGAGGAATTACTGGGATTGCGCCCCTTCGGACCTCCTCCTCCCTGTGCCTTATGAGCAGGGCAGAGAAGGCCTCTCTCAGAACTCGCAGGGGTTATTTCAGTTAACAAAGGTGGCCCCCCCCCCCCCGAACCGGAAACCAAGTCTCTGAAAAGCTTACTCTGGGTGTGTGTTGTCTGTCCATCTGTCTGTGTGTCTCATGCAGGTGGCTGGCCGTGCGGCTGGAGTGTGTGGGCAACTGCATTGTCCTCTTTGCTGCTCTGTTTGCCGTCATCTCCCGGCACAGCCTTAGCGCCGGCTTGGTGGGCCTCTCCGTGTCTTACTCGTTGCAGGTAAGAGGGGATGCTCTTGTTGGATTTCCCATTTCTCGTAAGGGGGAAGCCGGCTGTCAGCTTCTTGAGGCTTGGCTTTGAGTCCCTGTGGGATTGATTGGTGGAGAAGAACGGAGTTTGCTGGAATTTGAGGAGCGAGTCTAGAGCCCAGTGACCGACTGGAGCAGGAGAAATGAGACATGTGGCCTGCATGCTTCCAACTATAAAAGAAATGCTGTTAACACTATAAATTTCCCTCAAAGCACTGGAAGCACTGCTTTAGCGGCATCTCTCAAATTTTTTTTTTTTTAAGATTTTTATTGGGGAATTGGGGGATGGGAACAGTGCTGGGGAATTGGGGGAGGGGGAACAGACAAGTTGCTGTCATTTTGTTCTTCAATCTAGTTGTGGAGGATGTTGCTTCACTGGCCCAAGTTGGCACCTTCATTGCGCTCTTCTCTGGTGAGGCAGATCAGTCACTGGCTTCTGGAAAGCGGCCGCTCACTGCGGCTGCTGGCTGCTCACGCTGGGTGCTGGCTACATACGGTAGCCCATGGCAACCCACTGCCACAAGGACTGCAGCCTACACCGTCGCCGGCGACTCATGGCAGCCCAGCTCCAGGTTGAGCTGTTGTTCAGCATCTTGGCTGTGGAGGGCAGTGTCACTGGCCCTCATATGTGGGATCCGAACCGGGGCCCTCTGGCATCCCAAGCCAGTTCTTAACCATCGTGCCACTCGGCCGGCCCCGGCATCTCTCAAATTTTGATACATTGAAAATTTTTTTTTTGATGCATTGTGTTTTCCTATTATTATATAGTTCAAAATGCTCATTTCCTTTCTCACTACCAGTGTGGCCCATGGGTGATTTTGAAATGCGGTGCTTGCTCAAGAGATGCAGTAGAGCAAGTCTGGGTGAAGGCTCTATGTGGGGTTGCTGTTTTCTGTACCTTTCTCAACTGAACTATTTCATAACTCATAATTACTTCATTAAAATAAACTCCAGCTCACTGTAGAAACTCTTCCACGCACAGGTCACCGCCTACTTGAACTGGCTCGTTCGGATGTCGTCAGAGATGGAGACCAACATTGTGGCGGTGGAGAGACTCAAGGAGTATTCAGAAACCGAGAAGGAGGTAGACGAGCCCCCTGGCCTGACCTCTTGGCCTTGATCTTCAGCGTGGCTTTCCCCAAAAGAAGCCTCTTACTTAGCCCAACAGGCATCCTCTGTCTGACAAAAATAATCTATTATTTGTTACGTATTTTTATAGGGGACTTGTATTATGGAAAGGAGACTAGTTTCCTTTTAAAATACGTTTTAAAATTAAGTATATATGAGTTAATTAAAAGTATTCAAAGTCAGTAACAAGAGAATCAGTACATGGATATTGCAAAAATCATGATATTTGTAAGGGAGTTTACCAAGTTGTTTATAAATGGAGGAAAGGTAACCTAGAGAGGGATGATGGCTTATTCAAGGTCACACACGTTTGGTAGGACCCAAGTCTCCAGACTTTGGTGCCACGTTGCCCGTGATGATGGCCGTATCCTGCCTGCACACCACCACCAATATCAGTAGCAGTGATAATAATGCCCGTAACAGTAATGCCTGGAGATGCCACCTTCCCGCTCACCACCAGTAATAATAGGGACACGTATTGTGTCCTTGTGGAGGTGTCAGGCCCTGTCCTAAATCATTTCACCTAGAGTACTTCATATAATCGTGACACAGCCTTATAACTCACCTTCTATTCTTATCCCCATTTTATAGGTGAGGAAACGGAGGCACAGAGAGGTGAAGTCACCGGGATTTGGGTCTGTGCCATTGTGCCACACCGCCGCCCAAGAACATGCCCCATAGGAATGAGACCAAGGCGGCCCCAGTTAAACTCTGTTGTCTTAAAGGATTTACAGAAGTGACCTGTGCCTCTGGTCCTTTAATGCTCTGACGTGGTGAACCAGGTCCTCCCTCATCCAAGAGCATTAGTCAGAAGGGTGTGAGCGCCCCCTGTGGAGATAGGCGTGCATTACACCAGGAGTTTCCCACTCTATTGAATTTTTTTGGTAACAGCTTTGTGATATAATTCACATGCAGTGCAGTTCACCCATTTGTTTTTTTAAAAACGTTTTACTTGTTTTTACCTCTTTTAATTGTGTTTATATTTTTAGAATAAGAGCATATTTGAAAAATACAAGAGAAAGTAAAGATCACCCAGAGCCCTACCACTATTAAGATATATTATATATATATTTATGTATTTATATATTATATATAATATATATCGATAGTTAGAAAGCCCCACTCATTTCTCTCTACGCCCTTCTGTGTTTTTATAGCATGTCCTTTTCATTTATATACATAGATTATACAAGGGAAATATGCTTGTTGTAAGAAAAAATTAATCTAAAAAAATCCATGGGGAAGAAAGGATGAAAATTCTCTTTTCTTTGTTCCCTCCATTCCTGTCCTCCCCCAAAGATAACCCCGAGCCTGGCCCAGAGCATAACCAGTTGTAGATGAACTGTAGATGAACAGGAAATGATGAACTGAACTAAAACGCTTTTCAGAAATAGGGGTCGTGTGACCCCAGGCAAGTTACTCACCTAACTCTGTGTGTCGGTTTCCTCGTGTGTAAACTGGGGATAATGGAAGGACCCCACTTAGGGGACTGTAGTGAGGATTAAATGAGATGATACGATAGAGTGATCTTGAAGTGTTAGCTGCCGCTTTTATTGTTGTGCTCCAGACTTAAAGGCAGTCAGTATGTGCCTGTCAGAGAAGACCACTCACTCATGGATTCAGTCCATAATTATTTATTGAGCACCTACTATGTGCTCTGGGTCCTGGGATATAATAGTGAACAAACAATAAAGAACCTGTCCTCATAGAATGGTTATCCCAGTGGGTGTGGATGACAGAATAGACAAATAAATACATACGTAAAGCGGTAGGTGCTCTGAAGGGGAATGCAGCAGGGGTGAAGAGAGAGGGGTGCAGGGCTAGGAGGGTGGTCTGAACTGACCTCAGGTCTGCAGGATGAAAGAGAACAGGCTGAATGGGTAGTTTGGGGACGAGCAGTCCAGGCAGAGGAAGCTGCAAGTGCTAAGGCCCAGCAGCAGGATGTGGGGGTGTATTAGAGTCATTTTGGGGAGCAGAGTAAGTGAGAGAGAGAGGGAGGTGAGTTTGGAGGGGTCGTGGAGCCTGGCTCCCATCGAGACTTGGGGCATGTGAGATGGGGACCTCAGATTCCTTATTCACCCCACCCCGCCCCTCCTCACCGCTCACAGGCTCCCTGGCGTATCAAGGAGATGGCTCCAGCCAGCACCTGGCCCCAGGTGGGCCGAGTGGAATTCCGGGACTACGGCCTGCGTTACCGAGACGACCTGGACTTGGTTCTCAAGCACATCAACGTCACTATTGAGGGAGGGGAAAAGGTGGGTGCACACTGTCCCCCCACCTGTTCACAATCGTGTACAGGCCGTGACCAGACAGATGAAACCAACTGCGTCATTCCCCTAGTCCGTCATGGTTCCGTGCAATGGGATGGAGTGGCCATTTTTTGGAAGGGTTGTGAAAGGAAAAGCTGCTCGGAGAGTATCTGACAGGGTTGCAAACGGGTAGCCTGAGAGCCACATGAGGCCCACAGATGGGTTTTGAAAAACAGCTGACTAGGTTGCAAAAATTGAAAAATCTTGAGCGTTTTATATAACAATCCATTTCCTGCTTTTCTTGAAAGATCACATCACCTAGACACTCGGGGCCCATGTCCCCGCCTAGCTCTTTCTGGACAAGATGTGAACTTTCCAATTCACTCGGCCCTTCCCCACCCCACCCAGGTACCTCCGTGGCCCCTGAGTAGGCACTGAGTTTGCAGTCTCTATAGAGTAGAAAGATGTCACCATCACTGCTGGGAATGGCTCCAGGGACATGTGAAACTGTCAGAAATTTGAAACATACCCGTGGTCCCAAGCTATTCCCGGAAGACGTCCTTCTTCCCCTGAGACCCTCAGACCCTCCTCAGGAATTAGACCAAGGGTCTTCCTGGCCGTTTTCCAGGGGACAGTGCTGCTTTTGTCTCTGAACATAGGGACCTGCTAAACTTGTCCCTAACACAAGGCTCAGAATGCTCCGTTCCCGCGAGACAATTTCTGTAACTTACAGGGGGATGAGCAGAGAGGGCGGCGTTGTCACTGAGGCGTTAGGGCTTACGTTACCTCAGGAGACTGCTCTGTGACATCGCTGTCAGAGGTGGAGGAAGTCTGCCTCTACGAGCCCGGATGAGAAGGCGAGGCTGTAGGCGGACGTCAGGAACGTTAATCCTGGGCTGTTACATGGGGAGCCCTGAGACCAGGCCACATCCGTAACCCCTTTTTGCTCACACAGCTGGAGTAGGGAAAAGGGGGTGTGCAGGGGGTTCTGCTTGAATCTTTGGGCTATTTCAACAGCTCAGGACGGGAAACTTAGCATCAAAGAACTAAAAAAACAGCGTGAGGGAAATACCTGATTATTAATATTATCTTGAGTTGAAAATACTAGGAACTATTGAAAAACAGCCCCTAAAGTAATGTCTCTGGGAAGCTTGTGAGGGCTATGGTGGGAGTTGGGTTGACCAGATGACTGAAATTCTCTGGGGCAGATACCTAAAATGAGGGTATTGTGGGGCAGGAGGTTACCCCCAGATACCAGCATTCCCACCTCACGCTGGGCCCTTCCTGTCCCACAGGTTGGCATCGTGGGGAGGACAGGAGCTGGGAAGTCATCCCTGACCCTGGGGTTGTTTCGGATCAACGAGTCTGCCCAGGGAGAGATCATCATTGACGGTGTCAACATCGCCAAGATTGGCCTGCACGATCTCCGGTTCAAGATCACCATCATCCCCCAGGTGGGGCCTGGGTGGGGCATGGAGGGTGTGCTGAGTCACTAAAAGTGATGTATGTGTATTCTCAGCACAGATGGAAATGTGTTCCTCCTCTGTTATTTTTATTAAAATCGTGCTGTGTTTCCTCTCCTGACACCCCTCTTAGCATATAAATAATAATGGGAACCCACTCCTGCCCCACAGTAGGCTGTTTCCTGAGTGGGACACTGGCTTCTCTGCCATCCATCAGTCAGAACAAAAATCTCTGACCCTCCAAAGATCTAAATAAGAAGTAAGAATTTTCTAGACTAATTCCCGAAGGTGGTGATTTCCTGATATGTTGCTTTTTCATGTTATCATCCCCAAAATTTCTTCGGAGATTCTTTTTTGGGGGCAGGGGATGGGGAGGAATCCACAGTACTTTACGATTAGAAATTAACCATGCTGCATCTCCCTTCTGGGAGGTTCCTGACACGTTTGCATATTGAAGTCTCCGGGGAGTCTTGCAGAAAGTAATCTATTTTATGTCACCTAACCCAGGGTTTTCCAGACTGTTTTTTTCTCATTATTAACATCTCTAGAAGTAGAGATTCCAAGGAAATCTAGAGCCCCATCGGGAACAATTCTGGGAAGAACTTTGTGTGGCCCGCGTCTGTGCCCCATCCACGCCCAGCGTGACAGGAGCCTCACGGGCCATCTACTGCCTTCTCTCTGAACAGGACCCCGTTTTATTTTCGGGTTCCCTCCGCATGAACCTGGACCCGTTCAGCCAGTACTCGGATGAGGAAGTCTGGACATCGCTGGAGCTGGCTCACCTCAAGAACTTCGTGTCGGCCCTTCCCGATAAGCTGAACCACGAGTGTGCAGAAGGCGGGGAGAACCTGAGGTGGGCAGGAGGGTGACACCTCGACGAGGCCCCTCAGCCTCACCTCGGTCAGGGTGCTTGAGGAGCCTGTCCTTTTGCATCAGTGTGGTTTGAGTCCCAGCCCTGCCACAGAGGAGCCTTTTGCCTCCTGGAGTCTCCGTTTCGGTACCTGTTTCAATCCAGGCTCATGTTACCATGAAACAGGACCAGGATGGTCGGTGTATTTTGTTCCTCACACCAGCTCCGTTCAGCTGAGAGTGACTATCAGTTGTTAAACCATTGAAAGGGTTCTCTTCCAGTTGGTAAATAACACTGCTGAGCTGCTCAGACCCACTGCTGCCCCAGCTGCCTTGGCCCTTCTCCCGGGTTCCACCCGTGGCCTGGCATCTAACGTGTTAATGGCACAGCAGGGAACCTCTGAGTCCAGCTCCCGTGTCATTAGGCAGTGCCAGGTTCAGTGATCCATCACATGACAACCACGCACCAAACCTCAGGCGTGTCCCGCAGTAGCAGGGGTGGCCAAGCTGGGTGGCTCTGTTAACCTGTCACACTACCCATGCTGAATTGATCAGTTATTTTGGACGTTGCTCTGAGCCCTGTGTTGAGAAGAATCCTGAGCCTGCTGCTAGCTCAGCAGGAAGAACATTCTGATCGAGGCCTCACGTCTGCGATAGGTGTGGACGTGGTAGTGGCCATGGTCTCCCGGTCTGAGCAACACCGAGCTGTCACCTCCCTTCTCCCCGCTCAGGCCCGTGCTCAGCGTCTGGGGCGGTTCTCACACTCTGTCTCCTGGTCTTTTTCTCCCGGTCAGTGTCGGGCAGCGCCAGCTTGTGTGCCTGGCCCGGGCCCTGCTGAGGAAGACGAAGATCCTTGTGTTGGATGAGGCCACGGCGGCCGTGGACCTGGAAACGGATGACCTCATTCAGTCCACCATCCGGACGCAGTTCGACGACTGTACTGTGCTCACCATCGCTCACCGGCTCAACACCATCATGGACTACATGAGGTGAAGCCCCTGGCACAGGAGGCCCGGTCACTGACTCCTTTTATTTATTCACCCAGCACCATTTTTATGCCCCGTGACAGCCCCAGGTGGTGAAACCTCTCTTTATCCCAGGTAGTGCCCAGTGTTTCTGACATCACCCAATCACTTAATCAACACACGTACGGAGTGCCTGCCACATTCCTAGCCCTGTTCCGGGTACCGGGGTCTCAGCAGGGAGCTATCAAGACGAGGAGCCTGCCTCAGAGACCTTATAGATTAGTTGGGGGATGGGTGCAGAGAGAGACAATAAACCCAGCAACAAATAAAAGTGAATTGTGCTGGGAAGGAAATATGGGAGGTGATAGCGAGTACTGTGCGTAGCATCACAGAACGTTGGCATTGGCTGGAAATAGGGACCGAGGATGGGCAGCCAGTTGGAAGGCTACTGCAATAGTCCTAGCAGAAAGTGTTAGGGGCCTAACCAAAGCAGGGACTTGCCCAGGTGGGTTTTCGGGGGCATGAGGTGTCAACCACTTCCCTACCGCTCATGTCTGCATCCCCTCCCCCTGCAGGGTGATCGTACTGGACAAAGGAGAAATCCGAGAGTGCGGGCCCCCATCCGACCTCCTGCAGCAGAGAGGCCTCTTCTACGTCATGGCCAAAGATGCTGGCTTGGTGTGAGCCCCGGAGCTGGTGCATCTGGTCTGATCTGCAGCGGTCATGTGCCAGCCTCCCAGGAGGAGTCAGCTTCCTTGGAAACCCAAGCCTCCTGTATACTGAAACCAAAAAAAAAAAAAAGAGAAACCAAACCCAAAGAACCAAACCACACCCAAAGCAGCCATCCTCTGGCCCACCAGCCTGGACTTGGCCGTGAAGAAGCAGGAGAGACCCAGAGATGCAGTCCACCCAAAACTCGCACACCCTCGCCTCTGTCACCCCCCACAAGAAGCACACGTGCTCTCATACCCCTGAAAATGCCGGCTTGTGCTCTTGGTGCTCTGCGGGGAGGTTCTGGCAGCCAGACCCCAGAGAAATTTGTTGCGGGAAATATGCTAGTGACCAAATCCAGCCAACTGCCTCACACCTCTCCAGCAAAAGCCTGTGGACTCCAAGTCTCTGAGAAGCTCCCTGGCAGCTGGCCCCAGCACTTCTGATGTTCTCGTCTGGCTGTACTCAGAATGCTTCGTTTCCTCGCCTCTGCAGCTCAGAGGTGGAGACCATTGTCACCGTCAGGCAGTGTCCCAAGGGCCATGGACACTTCTCTCACCAACCATCTGGTCTTCCAGGCGCTACGATGCTGGGAACCAACGTCCCAGCCCTGCCTCACAGGCCAGAGGCAGCCTCGTCACCCACGCGTTTCCCTTCCCACGGGCAGGACTTGGCTGGACTTGCAGGCATCCCAGACCTGGAAGCCCTGGGTCTGGAGGTCCTCTCGCAATCCCAGCTTCCCAGCTGGGTTGCTCCCCTCCTCATCACCCACTCCAGCCTTTTCCTCGCCTTCCCTCCTGCCTCTTTGCCCATTGCTAGAAGGGGTTTACTCCTGTAGGTACCTGAATGAGGTCTGCTCTGGGTTGTGAAGCGTTTGAAGCCAAGAACACTGGGCACCTCTCAAGTATGACCAGCGGGCACGGAAAAGAGCCCGTTGAATCTTCTTGTTTTTAGATTTCAGTTTCTCACCCGTGGCCTCCGGTTAGCTGCCAAGGGTGGCAGTGTGGAGAACTTGACATTTACTTACGGCGTGTCTTCCAGGACAAGAAAGGAACCTATTTACAAATACCAGTGTTTTCTTTTTCTTTATGAAAGTACTGCTCTTGTAGGAAACCAGTCTCAAAATGACTTTTGATTTCTAGGGAGGAAGTATTGGGCCTTCCCAGTGAAGAGCCAAGCTGGCCTGGCATCTGACAGTTGGTCCGCGTGTTCCTGGAAGAAGACAGGAGACGTGGAGTCCTTCGAGGCCTGTCCTGTAGGTCTTTCAGTTGGAGACCAAAGGGAGACCCAAAAAGGAGAGAGAGGTCACTGCTGCCCCATGATTGGCGTTGCTGACTTCAAACCCAGAAGCGTCTTTCTTCCTTTAGGTGGAAATACATATTTATTTTTTGTAAGTTATACCATTCTTTCTCAATAGATAAACGAAGTTTTTCTTGGGGGTCTTTTTGTAATGACTTACACTGGAAATGAGAACATTTGCAAACAATTTACAGTAAAAAAAAAATATTTTATTTCTTTCTAAATGACGACTTTCTGTTCTTTGGGCATGACTCCCTCCGGGAGTCAGCAGGGGGTGCCCTCACTGCTTCTCTCCCTTTGGCAAACGTGTCTCTAGAGGGAGCTCTGGTTGGAAATGGGAACCTAGAGGTAGAAGCAGGTGGGGTTTAGTGAGGGGGTCAGCATGGCACAGCGGACAGAGATTGGGCTCCGGGGTCACACAGATCTGGGCTTGAGTCCTGCCCTTGTCATTTGCTGGCCGTGTGACGCTGGGCAAATCACTTAGTCTCTGTGCCTCAGCTGCCTTGTGTGTAAAATGGGGCTGATCGTATCTGCCTGATGGGATTGTTGTGAAGATTGAGCAGTGATATTATGTATGTGTGTGTGGCCCAAATCACCCTTGAAAGCCCCTTGGTATTAGGCAGGAGAGGCTCGGCTGTGCTGCGGTAGCCATCAGCTTTTGGGAAATGAACGCGGGGGTTTCTTTGTCATTCATGCGTTTCTTCATGAGGGTCAGATGCCGCTCAGGGTCACTGCCTTCTGTGCGCGGCGACTGGGAGATCCAGATGGTTCTGGTCTTACGACATCGCCTCTCAAGGGCTGGCTTCCAGGTCACCATAGCATGGGAAGGGAAAAGCGGATGACTGGCCCCACTCTGAAGTGTCTCGAACCAGAAGTGAAGCAAGTCAGCTGCACTCGCAGCTCATTGGCCAAAATTAGTCGCACGGCCCCTAGCAAACCACAGAGGAAGCTGGGAAATGCAGGGGTGCGTAAAGACGAGAAGTCTGCCTCCCTGCGTGAGTTTATGTGGTTTCTGAGTTTCAGACAGCGGGGTAGTGAGGCTGGAGCGTTGAGTTGCTGAGTTTGAATCGGCTGAGTCTGCATAGCGAGCAGTGCCTGTACTGGGGGAGCACGCCATGACTGCTGCACCCCAAAGCCACGCATCAAGTCCATGAGCGCATGCAGCGTCCGAGCGCCGCCAGTCTTCCCTCCAGCGCGGCTGTCCCCCAGCTGGAGTCATTGCCTTGCATTAGGGACTAAAGTGTGGGTGCTGGGGTGGTGGGGTGGGGTGAGAAGCTGGTGGGGTGGTTACCATTAGAATGAGTATTTGGGTGGCCAGGCAGAGTCTATTTTGGATGTGAGGTGTGTCTCGGTCCCAGAGCCTGAGCCCCCGAGTATTAAAATCCCAGGTCAGACTGTAAACTGTGCAGCCTGGTGTGTGCCTGTGGTGTGTGTTGTTGGACAGCTGGGGGCTCCAGAGAACTGGGGGGGGAGGAGGCGGGGCTTCACATCAACCCTGAGAGGCTCGGGCCAGAGGCTCCGAGGTTGGAGGTGCGGGGAGTAGAGGAGGCCTGTGCTTGTCATCTAGGTCAGTGTTTTAGTGCCATAGAAGGAGAAGGAGGTAGCTTTGTTGTGTATCTACTACGTGCCAGGCCCTGGGCTCAGCGGCTCTCATGGGAAAGGATTTCCTGGGCCAGAGAGGAGCTGGGGAATCAGGCGGCAGCTTCCAGGTCAGCGTCGAGCTGCTTGTCCCATCTTCCTTCTTACAGCCTACATCCGCCCCTATAGCACGTTCAGTGGACTTCCAGAGTCCCCCCAAAACCGGGACCCGACCACTTAGCCCTCCCATTGCTGCAGTGCTGGTTCCAGCACATCGTCCCTGTATGCCCACGCCCGCCAACTCAGTGGCCGCTGCCTCTGCCCCGGCCACCCCCTTCCCACACAGTCTGCTCCCCACCCAGCAGCCATAGTGATCCCCTGGAAACGTCACAACCCACTTGTGGCCCTCACCTCAGTGATGCCATCCACTCCATCCATCATCCATCCATCCATCAGTCCACCCACTCAGCTATTCATTCACCTTTCCATCCATCCATCCATCCATCCATCCATCCATCCATCCATCCATCCATCCATCCCTCCATCCCTCCATCCACCCATCCATCTGGTCATGCCACCGGCATTTAAACCCTCCTGTGTGCTCTGCACTGTACAAGGCACTGGGAAAATTGCAGCGGGGACACGTGCACAAATCCCTCAGCTCAAGAAGGAAAAAGCCCTTCTGGTGGGATTCTAGCGAATTCAGCTCTTCTCGGTGAGCTGGTGCCCTGGAGCTAAGGAAGCGTGTGAGGGGCAGCGTGGCGCAGTGGTTCTTCTGCATGTGCTGTGGAGCCGCCCCGCCGGGCCCCGGCCCTGCTTTCCCGCTGTTGGCTCATCTGTGAAAGGCGCTGAGTGACCGTCCCTTCCTCCTCCAAGCACCCTGGTGAGGTGGGAATGATAGGACCTTCCTCTTCCGATGGAGCATGACCTGAAAGAGCTTTGTGAGTGCCTGCAGGAACCAGTGGCGCACGGGGAGGTTAAGGGCCTGCTGAGGAGATGCACTCAGCAGGGAGGTCTGCGTGTGGTGGTCCTGGATCTGTGTTCCCTGCTGCAGGAGCCCATGGCGAGGGATTAACGGCCTGGATAGCCGTGGGGCTGGTCTCCAAGGAGCGGTGATATGGGCCAACAGCAGCCTCTAAGGCGGGCTGTCAAGGGCGCTGCCTGCCTCCTGTGACCCACACTGCTCCCTGGCACACTGTCTCCCTCCGTGAAAGAGACTTTTGTGGCCCTGGAATGACACCAAGTGAGTCTGCCAGACTCACAGCTGCTGCCGCCTTTGCCTGTGGTGGCTCTGCCGGGACGTCGGGTGGCTCGGCTCCAGGCAGAGAAACGAGAGATGCTTCCAAGTTGGACAGACACCCCCCCCCTCCAGCGGATGACTTGGGCTTTGGTGTTAATGAGTCCCTGGGGGAAGATGCCCACTCTGCCACTTGCGAGCCGGGTGCCCTTGGCAGGTCATGTCAACTCCCTGCCTCAGTTTCCTCATCTGCAACATGGAGCTAATAACCATCAGGAGTGGGGGGGCCAGCACTTTGAAGGCATGACGGGGTATGGGGCAGGAGGCAGGCAAGGGATGCAGACACCCTGCCCCATTTTGAAGGCATCACAATGAGCTGGCCGCATGTTGGCAAAGGGAGAGAGAAGCTGCAGTTAGGTCTAGATTGCGATCGCTCTGGGCTGGAAACCTGGTGTCAGGATGGGCCATCACAAAGTCCCCGTGGCCAGGCCGGGCCAGGGCAGGCCCTATGTCCTGGCAAACCCACGCAAACACTGGCTAAATAGCAGTGGATCTCTGATGGCAGTGGGTCAGGTTAGCCCAGCGATTGAGATCCCCCCCGGCCGGGGACACGGACAATGTCTGGAGACATTGTTGTCACAGTTGGAGGTGAGGATGCTACTGGCATCTCGTGGGCAGTGGGACCTCAGGCTTGGCTACTTTAGACTCTTGTCTCCTTTCCTGGTGCCCGAGCTGGTTCTGTGAGCCCCGGACTGTCAGCAGCAGGCCTGACAATGCGTGTGCCATGCACTGCCTTCCGTGACCTTCATCGCCTGACCTCTGACTTCTCAGGAGCGGACGTGTGAACAGATGCACCCGGGGTGTTCCAGGTGCTGCTGGGGCTCCCCTGAGAAGCCGGAATTGGGTCTTTAACCAACAAACGTGGGGAACGTGCCAAGTTGTGAGCCAGTTCTCCCCGGGGGCCAAGGAGTCCTGGCTCCTGTCACCTCGCCTTTGAAACTGAATGTGCGTTCAGGTGTGTGCTTGCGCCCGGGAGGGGCCCAAGGGTGGGTTGTGGCGCGTGTGTCCAGTTCAGACAAGATGCTCCTTGGAGCTCATGTCCGAGGGTTGGAGGAGCAGCAGGAGGTGTGAGGTTCAGGCCTGGTGCGTGTTGGAATCATATGGGGAGCTTTAAAAATAGACGGTACAGCAAAATGGGTAACAGCCCATCGGGGTGTGGGCCGGTGGTGGGTGACAAAATGGGACCCTAAGGGGTCCTTGTGATAGACGTGTTCAGCATGCCAGCCATAGTGGAGGATGTAGGAACCTATACGTGTGAAACAATTGTGTAGAAGTCACACACACACACACAAGTACAAAACGAAACCTGAGCAAGATTGGTGTATTGTATCAGTGTCAGTCCTCATTGTGATATCATACTGTCATTTTTCAGGGTGTTACTATAGGGTGTAAAGGGTACACAGGAACTCTGTGGGGTACTTCCTACAACTGCCTGTCAATCTACAACCATCTCAAAATAAAAAGGTCAATTTGTAGAAAGTACACACACCATTGACCCAGCCCCAGCTGCAGGGACTCTGGTTTCATTGGTCTGTGGTGGAGCCTGGCATGGGCAGGTCTTGCGGTCCCTGGGGGAGTCCACCGGGCAGCCACCAGGCTGAGAGCCGCTGTCCACTTTGGCTCCTGGACAGGGCTGGCCAGGCTCTGGTCAGGCTGACCTGGGGGGTTGCTGCGTCTTCCCAGGTCTGTGACAATCGGTCACTTTCTCCACCAGAGAGCAGAGAGGGGTCTAGACTCAACACTATGGGGCTACCGGTGACCCCAAGGGCACTCGTATCTCCAGGGCACGGTGCTCCTCTCCAGGTTGGCACAGCAGGGGGAGGGTTAGGGGCCTGGCTCAGACCAGGCCCGACTCCTGTGCCAGCCTGTAAAACAGCCCCTTCTGGGCCAGCAGCTGGGCTGGGCTGCCGCTCTCTGCTACCTGACCCTTCTCCATGACCAGCACCCTGCAGGGGAGAGGGAGACAGGCAGCTCGTTGGACCCCAGCCCATGCACTTGGCCGCTCTGAGAGCCCAGCGTGCCTGCTCTGAGGTTTGCTCCCCAGAAGTCGGGCCTTCTGTGCAGTTTCCGAGCCCCAACAGCCAGGATGTGCATGCACGTGCTGGGCATGTGTCCTGGGGGCGGCTGCGTGAGGGGAGCTTACCGGTCACAGTCCATCACGGAGCGCAGGCGGTGAGCAATGTGCAGTACTGTGCACCCGGCAAACCAGCCCCGGAGGGCGGCCTGCATCTGGACCTCCGTCCCCGGGTCCACGGCCGCCATGGCCTCGTCCAGGATGAGGACCTGCGTGTTCCGGAGAAGGGCGCGTGCCAGGCACAGGAGCTGCTTCTGGCCCAGGCTGGGAAAGAA